GAACAACGAATCTTTCGCTTGAAGGTTTACTCCAAACATGTAGGAGAGATGTCTCCTCTTTGCAGGAGCAATACGAGTCCTCTTGGTTGTCATTTAGGCTTTGAATAAGTGGGGCGCTTTTCGATGATGGTTGAAAAGCCTAAGTCAGGCATCGTCTTCTCTGCTTACCCCTTTCAATGCATGCCTACCAATGCTCTTCATGATCTAACATTTGGACCAATCTGTAAAGAAACACGTGCTTATTATTTGGGATTCAATCAGTATCACAAACGAAATTAATCTTTAGCGAGACCAGTCTTACTTTTTGTAAGAACAAATGCTTGTGCTTAACCCATTTGATGTTGGATGCGGATCAAGAGGACGTTTTTGGTGCCTGAGAAAAGTCACCCAGTTTGTGTAGTGGTCGGTCTTCAAATTGATGTACGCTAGCCCTCTACGCCTTGGAGGGACACATTTGGTAAACTTAGCGCCATCTAAAAGCAGCACACTGCTGAATTTAAGTGTTCTGCTACGAGTTTCGTGTATTTTATTGTTTATGGATTCAAACTCACACCATTTGATGGGAAATTTGCGATGTATCCTTAATCTAAGGCGTGATCTTAACTAGATGAAAGCTTTGACTCTTTACATATTTGAGTGTTTATGTAAATTGGGTGTGAGTTACACTTTGTCACTTCATTTCCAAGTGGATGCAAACATTGTCTACTTTTTCTTGGCACTTAAATAGTTTTTCATGACTATGCGGGGCTCTGCAACTTCTCCACTAGCTTCGTAGCGTGCTTTCATCCCTCTGCCGCTGCAGAGCTATTTGATCTTTGGAAGAGAGTGTTTTCAAACATTTGGTATCATCAACCCTCCAAGTAGTCGTCATTTTACAGTCGACATTTGAGATCCATGCGTAGATTATTCTGCCATTGCTCTCCCCCATCCCCCTCCTTTAATGCTTTGGGTCTCGCTTCATCGAAAATTTCTGTTTCTAGACCGACGCAATCGATTGCACTAGATACAAGCAAGAACAGTCTACGACAGAAGTTCGCAAACCTCCTTAACTCAGCCTCCGACTCTCCAATCACCCATGGGAAAAAGTTCCCCTTTGTCAAACATTCATGAGGATGGCATTAATACCAATTATCCAAACTCTGCCATCTTGGCTGTGATGTTTTCTGCTTCTACAAGTTTTATTGTTGTTTTGTACGCATTTTCTTCATTTTCTTTCCACTGCTTTCCGGTGTGTACCATTTAACTAGCCATGTTCACCCCCATATCATTGCCCTTTCTTAGATATAAATACACGTCAGCATTTTGTGTCGCTGATGTTTTTAATGGGTTTTAGTTGCCATGCAAATCTCTTGAGTTCTTTTTGGTTTCTTCACTTTTCTACTCTAACGTGTCGCGCTCAAATGTGTCACTTAATCTAACTAATCAATCCAATCGCTTTAAACGTGTGGGTCGCAGAACGGCCACGACCACTCATTAGCTGGTTGTGTACACAAGGCATTTAAAATGTAGGTTCGATAGTCTCGTTTCCTTTATTTTAATTTGCGTGGCTGAAAGTTATTTTTTAGGTTTCAGGCGCCACCTCATT